GGCGCACTGGCCGTGTCACCTGAAGGGCCAGGTGGGCCCGGCCAGGGATGGAGGCCACGGGCACGTGGGAGAGGGAAGGGCTCTGAGGGGCTGATGTGGGCGCTGAGCTCGGACTCCTGTTCATCTGCCCACTCGGGTGGGAAGGTGCCCTCAGGCGTGTGCGGGGGGCGGGGCACATGCCTGGTGCCCCTTCCGAGGAGGGAGACCCCTGCTGGGTCCACCCCCAGGACAGGCCTGGGAGCAGGGGACACCACCCTGTCCACCCGTCCTGCTTCCCTGACCTGCAGGGAGCGTCCACCTTCCGCACGGGGTCGCCCCTCAGCTCTCTGGTGCCGCCCAAGTCCCTCCTCGCGGCCGTTCGCCGCCCTGAGCCGTCCCTGTCCCGTCCCAGGGGCTGAGTGGGACCCGGTCCAGGCTCAGTCTGTTTTCAGCACCTGAGTCCCTGCGGCTCCCCCGGCGCTGGTTCCCTTGGACAGGGGCCTCGCGGCCACAGAGCCCTGACAAGGGAATGCGTTTATTTCTTCCCTTTAAAGCAATCTGTTAAAGGACATTTTAGTTATTTTTTAAATATTTTTATTGACTTCAGAGAGGAAGGGAGAGGGAGAGAGAGATAGAAACAATCAATGATGAGAGAGAATCATTGATCGGCTGCCTCCTGCACGCCCCCTACTGGGATTGATCCTCCCCATGCGCTTCCTCCGCATGTGCCCTTTGACCGGCACTTGAACCCGGGACCCTTCAGTCCACAGGCCGACTCTCTATCCACTGAGCCAAAGGAGCTAGGGCTTAAAAGACATTTTAGAGCCGTGCAAGCCTTTAAAGAAAACGGGAAGTTCAGAGGAGAGAGAAGAAATAAACTCGTCGGTTCTCCTCTCGCTGCGATCATGTTATAGACGCCCCTCACGTCCCGTGTGATGTATTTATCCCGCGTCCCTCATAGACTGGCTGTAGGTGACGGACAGGCGTGTGCTGGGAAGTTACACGGAGGTTCCCCCGGCCTCTCCCTCGTGACTGGAAGCGGTTGTTTGTTTTTTCAGATGAAAAGCAACGCCACCCTAACGTGTGTACGCGCATCTTTTCCGTGCGCACTTTTGTGGGTTCAGTGTGGCTTTTCAGAAATGCAATTCCTGGGGTTCCCACTGCAGCCTCTGGCCGGAGGGGCCCGGTCGGTGCTGCCAATGTGATTTTTAGAGAATGGAAGAGAGAAGGAAAGACAGAGAGAAACATGGATGTGAGAGAAACACATCGATGGGTTGCCTCCTGCATGCGACCTAACGATGGCCCAGGCCGGGGCGGAGCCTGCAACCAAGGTATGTGCTCTTGACCTGGGAATCGAACCTGGGACCCTTCGGTCTGCAGGCTGATGCTCTAGCCCAGTGATGGCGAACCTTTTGAGCTAGGCATGTCAGCATTTTGAAAAACCCTAACTTAACTCTGGTGCTGTGTCACATATAGAAATTTTTTGATATTTGCAACCATAGTAAAACAAAGACTTATCTTTTTGATATTTATTTTATATATTTAAATGCCATTTAACAAAGAAAAATCAACCAAAAAAATGAGTTCGCGTGTCACCTCTGACACGCGTGTCACAGGTTCGCCATCACTGCTCTAGCCACTGAGCCAAACCGGCCAGGGTGGCTGTTTTAACTTAAACACGTTTTCCGGCGGAGAGATGAAAATGGCCATGGGCCCCAGTCCACTTCGGTTACTTCTGAGGTCACGTGCAGAGGAGTTCCGGTCCTCGAGCACCAGGACAGAGGACGGGGCGGGGGGTCCCAGCTCCTGCACATTTGAAGAAGGAGAATCAGGCAGGTGATGTCCTTAACCTTCTCAAACCGTGACTTGGCTAGAACTGGAGCTACTTAACTAGTCTCACAGGGTGTGACTTATCAGCCGTCCCAGGCAGGGAGCCTGACAGGACGCCGAGGCCGGTCCAGGCCGGACTGAACTGAGGTGCTCACCTGGGCGCACTTCGCACTCCGGGGACACGTTCAGTGGCTGGAGACGTATTGGTGGTTCCATGGGGTGGGTGTGGCCATCTACTGGGAGGTGGGGACTGGAGGCGGAGACACGGTCAGGTGGGCCTTGTCTGGTGGGGATGCTCCGGTCTTGCTGGTGGCCCGGGTGTGGGGTGAGGACAGAGGCCTGGGCACCACTCCTGGGGCTTGGTCTGGGCTCTCAAATGGGTGGGGTGCCACTTGCCAAGAAGGGACAAGGGGAAGAGGCAGGTTGGGCGGGAGAAGGAAGAGTTCAGCTTTGCACGTGCCGGCGAGTCCTCAGGGAGGCTGAGGGTTTGGAGCTGGGGGAGAGGCGGCCGAGGACGAGGCTGCGGAAGCTGAAGCTGACGGGTCCCTCTCGCCCTGGGAGCTGGGGGACCGCCTGCCGGGACAGGTCCAGACCGAGTCCTATGGAGGCCGGTGACCCGCGCACAGCGCAGTGAGGGGGCCTCGGGTCCAGTCTGCTCTGAGCCAAGCATCTCCTGCTGTGCACGTGGTCCTGAGTCCTTAGTTTCCAAGGCACGGTTGCCATGGCGACTGCATCCGTAACCAAGTCCCACAAGCTGGGGCTGGAACAGCGGGAACGGGCTCAGTGCAGGGGCTGGTGTGGGCAGGAGGCGCCCACTGACCAACTGCGGCCACTGCTGATGGGAACGCCGTGGACCTCTGGGCGCAGAGGAAGCGTCTGAGCCCCTCGTGTCCGGGACCAGACCATAGGCTGTCTGTTGCTTTTTTCCTGTGAGAGCTGCTGGGGACAGGCTTCGGGCGATTTTGTGAATTCTCTGAAATTGTGTGCATGCGGATTCTCAGGTGCCCTGCGCTCCTCAAGCAGCAAGTCCTGGCATTGCCGCATCTGCGCTGCCCACTGTGAGGGCCTCCCCACCGGCCGCTGGGCAGTGAGTGAAGCCCCTCGATAAGGGCCAGGAAGTGTTCTTTCCTCTGGGAGGCCCGGCTCAGGGCCGCGGGGCCCGGGCGGAAGCCCTGTCACAGGCAGGAAGGGCAGGAAGGCTGTGAGCCTGAGGCTGGCGGGAGTGGCGGGGGGCACAGACC